TATACATAGAAATAATGGAATTGCCTTATCTCTTCCAATCTTAGTTTCCTTGGCCATATATAAAGTTCTTGAGATACCTTCTCCGTAATCCTTTTGCAACTTCCACAAACCTGCTACTTTTATGTATCTGTCAGCTTTTTTCCCTCTCCTTTTCATTCTCATTTTATTTTTTTAAAGATTTAATTTATTTATTTTTAGAGAAATGGGAAGGGAGGGAGAACGGAAGGGAGAGAAACGCCGATGTGTGAGAGGTACAAGGACTGGTTTCCTCTGGCGCGCCCCGAAGCGAGGAGCTGGCGCGCAACCCAGGCACGTGCCCTGGCCAGGAATCCCAGGGGCGGTGCTTTGGTTCGCAGGCCCGCTCTCGATCCACTGAGCCACACCAGCCAGGGCTCCTTTCCTATTTTAAAAGAGTCATTTTACTATAGGACAAAATGAATTTTTCTTCCTTATCTCCCTCCAAATTTGTATGTTTTTATGTCCTTCCTTATCCAGAAATCACATCCTACTTTCCTTTCTCTCAACAAAATGCATCTCCATGCTTCATATTTTCTGTTGAAAATAGAACATCCTATTTTTTCACATACACTCTTTCGTTCTTTTAAAGTCCGTTTTGGCCAGGGAACCAGCTTATCCAGCGGTCTGCATTTTAAAAGCCCTCTTTTTCTCCTTCAGTCTCTGTGGGCAGTGTCTGGGTGAGCTCCTGGGGGTTTCCGTTCCTAAGACATGACAAGGTTTACAACTTGAGGAGACAGAGAGACACCGCAAGTTGTGTTAGCAGGATACCAGGCTATGTCAGAATTTGAGGTCTCTTATGCAATAAAAAGTTTAGCATCATTTATTTGACGATGCTTCCCATGGAACCTAACATACCATTAAGTCTCATTAGGGTCACATTTGGTTACATGGAATCTTTAAAGACTTTTCAGGAAAACGCAGAAAGCTAAATGGTTGTAAGCAAAATTTAGCTCTTTTAATAATAAGAGGACTCAGTTTACTGAAGCAATGGTAGACCTGAGGAGGAAGGACACAGGGAATTTTCCTAAGAGACAAGATTCTTGCTTTCCTTTTGTCATTTCCTTTATTAAGCATATCCCCAGCAGGAACCCATACCTGGTTCCTGGGTTCCAGGGAACTCTGGTCCAGCGAAATGAGGCCACTTTAGATCCTGTTTGAGATGCCAGATGTGTTACCCTAAAAATAAAAGGCCTTTCAAAGTCAGAGGCAATAAGCATTTACATGAGATTTAAAAACTACAGAAGAAAACAATAGTTATGCAGGAAGCAGTGATCAGGTAGAAGCCCAAAGAGTGTTCCAAGGAGGACTCAAAGGCAACAGGGAACTCGGAGAAATCGAAGGGGAAGAACAACCTCAGTACAAGAAAAGCATTGTTTTTCTATCGGTGCAGAAAAGCTAACGAGAGTGGTGCTGATTCTAAACAATTTTTTTTAAATCGGCAGTCCAGCAGTCCTATCTGCCTTCTTGTTAGCTTTGCAAACAGCTCTTTGGGACCTACTGTTGGTTTAGGCCCAGTCCAAAGGATATTTGGCCCCGTTTTAACATTTCAAAGGCAGTCCCTCTGGGATGGCAGCTCCAGCTCCCCCTTAAAGTGGCTCTGTTTATGGTGGGGCTCGTAGACATTAAACTGAAATCTAAATTCCTGGAGCGGGTGACAAGTCGCAGACATGCTCCCCATCAGCGACCTGAAGACGGCCGTCCTCCATTCCCCTCTTCACGATGCCTGTGCTCTCTGCCCTGCTGATCTGGAGGCAGGGCCGCAGCCCTCTCCCGCTGAGAGAGCCCTGGGCATGGAGCTGGGGGCGCCTTGGGGAGCCTTCTATAAGGCCCGGCTGAGGTTGCCAGCGGCACGGGGTCCCTGGGGTGTTGCCGGTGGTCCTGTTTTCTGGGGCTGCAGGGAACGTGGATGTTGGGCTCTGGGGTCTGGTTAGGGGGCCAGCTGCTGGGGTCGCAGAGGTCGCAGGGGTCACAAGGGTCATAGGGTGAGTTGGTCGGGGTATGCGGCTCCAGGGTGCATACTGGGGGTCGAGTGAATGGAACTGCAGCAGGTGCTCCCTGGGCTGGCCTGGGGTGCCAGGCTCTGGGGCCCCCTGTGGGCCTGGCGGGCTGGGGCTGCGGCTCACGCGGGCTGCGGCTGCAGTGGAGGCTGGCTGGGCTGGCTGAGCCGGCTGTGTTGCAGCGCGCCTGGGGTACCCTGGCGGGCCACCGTGCCTGGGCTGCAGCAGTCGCGGGACGAGGCGGCCTAGCACGGCGGTCTGGGGGCGCCCTGAGAGCCTGTCTCCCTGCGGCGGCCACTAAGGCCGGGCCAGGTGGTCCATGGTCCCCTGCGGGGGGCCTTGCGGGGTGGCTGGAGCGCCATCTAGCTGCAGGAGGAATGTCAACAGCGGCGTTTGCCAGCTCCTCAGAGCCAAGGGAACTCCAGCAAGTTCCCCACACATTTATTGGGCAGGTAGGTGCCTCGGGGTGAATCAATGGATCGCTTTCGGGTAGTCTAGTTGCCCTTTCAATCGCTGTGTCATCTCCGGGCCTTATAGCAGGAGAGTCGGCCCTCGCCAGCCCCCCAGTGGCATCCCTCTACCCTGCAGGCCTCCCCCTTGGGGCGGGGTTCCCGTGGTCACCCCATCTCAGCCTCTCCTGCAGCTTCTCCGTGCAGACTCCTTCGTTGTTCAGCAGGGATTGCTCGCCATGTAGGTGTACAGTCCCTGTGTGTCCCACCCGGCCATCTGGGAGCCCGTTCCGAGAGAAAATTTTTGACTCAAGCATCCAGGCAGTGGTTTCTTTAACCTGGAGCATAGCCCGCCATCGCGTGGGTCACCTGTGTTTCCTCCCTCGGCCGAGCACTCCCTGCAGCGTGTAGTCATCGCCGGTTCTGTCGCCCTCTCCAGCAGACGTTGGTCTCCTGAAGAGAAGGGACCTTCTTATCGCCACGATGCAAGTCCTAGTGCCTGGCGGAGAGTCTGGCACAAGGGGGCACTGCCATATGTGCTGAAGGAGACATCTCCACCGCTTCCACTCCGATTGCGGAGGGTATTTAGCCGCGCCGAGTGACGCAAGACTCGCTCTCCCAATCTCTACTGCTAGTCTATAATGTTCTGTAAAATGCATCAGCTTTACCCCAGGGAAAGGACTTTGATTTTGCTATTGATAATGCAATTTTATGAATTCATGAAATGAGGTTTTGAAGTCGCCCGCTGTCCTGGGTGGTGTGGCTCAGTGGATTGAGCGCCGGCCTGCAAACCAAAGGGTCGCTCCTCCGGTTGCGAGTCAGGGCACATGCCAGGGTGGCAGGCCAGGTCCCCAGTAGGGGGTGCTCGAGAGGCAGCCACCCATTGACATTTCCCTTTTTCTCCCTCCCTTCCCCTCTCTAAAAATAAATAAATAAATAAATAAATCTATCTTTTAAAAAAGAGACTCCTGCTGGCTTCACATTTATTAACCACCCACTCCCCGCAAACCCAACCCCTGCCTCCCGCCCACCAACCCCACTCTGCGGTCACAGGAGAACCAGGAGAGGGAAGTTGGAGCCTCTCTGTCTGACGGGAAAGGGCCAGAGGCGGGCTGAGCCCCACTTGGGCAGCCTCCTGGGACTCCTCCGGAGGCCGCCCCGGAGGGACTCAGCTGGGAAGCCCCGAGGGAAGCTGGGCTAGAGGCTTCTCTCCAGCGCCAGAGGCGCGCACAGCAATCACGGTACCCGCTTCCACGCCCACTTTTCTTGTCTTGTCTTTCCTTCTTCCGCTTTCCCCCTCGCTTTCTTGAGATATAATTGGCGTTTAACTTTGTGTAAATTTAAGGCGCACGACGTGGAGATTTGAAACATGGATGTATCGCGCCGCGGTTCCCAGGACAAGGATAGTTAACAACCCCTCCCCTTGACATAGTTACCATGTTGTTGCTGTTATCCTGCCGAGAGCACGGAAGATGTACTTTATTTTTGCTCTTAAAATCTTGACTGATCGTTGTTCAGCTACAGTTGTCCCGCCTTTTCCCCCATGGCTGTCCCCTGCCCCGCCCCCCCCACTCCCACTCTCAATCCCCCCCACTCCCCGCGCCCAGGACCCTCCATCGTGCTGGCAGAGTGACTCTCAGGGGCCCCCGAGAGTGTCTTTGGCGACGCCAGCCTGCTGTGGATTCGGTGCCCGGAACGCACTCCTCTCCTAACTGGAAGTTGGCACCTTTTGACCCACATGCATCCATTTCCCCCACCCTCTACCCCTCATGCCCACTTTCTCTTAGGCACCTACGTGGTCGCAGAGCAAATCCACGGAAAGAAACTATCTACAGAGCCTGAGCAGGCCCATTCTGGGGGGGTCGCGTGGGGGTGGGGGTGGGGGGATGGAAAAGGAAGTGATGGGGACTCGTCTTCGCTCTCGGAGGATCCTCCTCCTTTAGAACATCCGGAGAAGCTCGCCGCCTAGGCCCAGAATTAGGCTTCCGCGTGGGGTTTGCTGGGTTGGTTCTGATAAAAGGGCTGAAGGGACTGTCCCAGGACACTTATGCCCTGGCGCGCTGAAAAACACCAGACAACAGTGATAACGGATAAAAGCAAAAGGAAATGGTTTATTGAGGAAATGACCGCTCAGGTGAGTAATATCGCACAACGTGAGAAAATCTTCAATATCAGACCACGTTTGCTTTTGCATTACACACAATGACTTTCGACTGCTGCACCTCGTTCACCCGGCGATGGAGAATCCCAGCTGCGACCCTGGTCCGATAATCTACAAGAATGGACTCAGAGGCGTGTCTGTGTGCGTGTGTGGGGAGACCACCGCGGCAGATGGGAAGAGAGTGGAGTTTGGAAATAGAGAGGTCTTGCCGTTTATCCTCAAACTTTGGGGAAGGGGTACGGATTATTCTCAGGGCGCAAATCTAACAGTCCGTGCGGATGTTTGGATGGCGGGAGCCGAAGGGGACCATCGATCTCCGCCAGGGGACATCCCCTGCAGCCCGGAGCAGGGAGTCCCCGGGAGGCAGCGGGGCTGTTACTGGGCCTGAGCAGCAGAGGGGGCTTTTGCAAAGGCGACTTCCCCCTCAGAGGCGCCGGTCTTCTCGGCGGCGCAATCGGGTTTCCCAGCAGGGCCTTTCACGATCTTGCCCTCTCCTTCTTCGGAAGGTTTCTGGCCCTGTTCGTCAGGCGGCTGCTGCGGACAATGGAGACCGTGCGGGTCGTTGGGGCAGCAGGATGCGTAGTGGGGCGGGGGCTCCTGCTGCAGGCCGATGGCGTCGCTCGTGCTCTCCTCCTCCTGTTCTGCCTCCAGCTCCTGGGCGAGGTCCGGTGAGGGCTTTGGACCACCCCGGCCCCTAGGGCGGCTCATCCGGTAGCTGGGGCCGTGCCCCCGGCGCGGTGGTGTGCACTCGGGCCCTGCTTCTGGGGCGGGCGCGGGCTGGTACGCCTCCCGCGAGTCATTGGCGGGAGCGAAGCTGGCAGTGCGGCGCGTGGCACCTGGGGACCTGCGGAAGGGCGGGAAGCGCCGCCGTCGCTGGGCTTGGGGGTGGCCGGGCAGGTGGTGCCCCTGGCCCTGGGCTGTGGCGAAGTCTTCTCTGCCTCTGTCGCTGTCGACGACGACGTCCTCTTCAGCACCACTGATGCCGCTGGAACCACGGCTAGGGTGCAGCGCGCCAGGGTGGATGTTGACGCCAGGGTGGAGGCGGCTGCCCTTCACCGGGGCGCCAGCTGGCCCGGTCACGTTGACGGCCTCGGTGCCGCGCTCGCCCTGCACCACGTCGAACTCGACAACCTCCCCGGTGCCCACACCGCGCTGGTACCTGCGAGGGCCGCTCCGGGCGATGGCCGAGTGGTGAACGAACACCTCTTCCTCGGTGTCGTGCCTGCTGATGAAGCCGTACCCGCGCTTCACGTTGTACCACTTGACGGATCCACTCACGTTCCTGGCGATGACTTTCTTGAACGCCTTCCCCGGGGCGCCTGCTGCCGCCATGGCTTCCGGGGCCCGGTCTCCACCGATGTTGCTGGTGACTAGGGCCCAGGCACAGTCTCCACCTCCCAAGGACAACAGGTCTTTCTGTGCGGCCCGGCGGGAGACCGAGACAGCCAGCTCCCGGAGGGCAGCCTCTCCGGCCTCACTCATTAGGTCGTCCTTTCTCTCCATTCTCAGAGAGAGTAAGGGCAGTCTTCCCACAAGAGTCAGCGGAGAGTTCTGGGAGCAGGGCACTCGCTCTAGGATAGTCCCTGGTCAGGGCCAAGGGCTCTGGGTCTGGGCTCTGAGAGTCCTGGGAGTGGTCTGGGGCGTGTCCTGGGAAACAGGGCGTGGCTGCTGTTGACATCACAATGGGCGTTCTAGAGGCCACACCAGCGAGGGGGCGGGACCCAGGTGTCCTGCCACGTGCCCGGAGGCCACATTCCAGCACCTCCTGGCGCACCGTGGACAAGAGGCCCCCAGGAAGGTCCGGGGAGCGGTGTTCGTGAAGACTCTCCCGCCTGCCCGAGTGCGTGCAAAGTGAGAGCGCGCTTTCCGGCCCTGGCGTCGCTTGGCGAGATGCACAGCCGGCCTTCCGAGGGCACCCTCTCGTGGCCCGCTGGCAAAACCCGGGTCCTCCTCCCAGGCCTTGCGGACCGTGTCTGGGAGGGAGGCATTTTGCGCACCTTCAGGCCACGTGGCCACCGCATGCAATGAAAGACGCCCGCTGCCGTTCGGGTGTTCGGGTTTCCCTGTGTGTGTGTTTCGTCTTCCTGCACAGCGACCCGGGAAGCCCGGCAGGCCTAGACGGCTGGACGGGCAGGACGTCACACTGGTGCAGGTTCGTCTAGGCTGGTGGGAGGCTCGTAAGCCGGTGCCCCTCACCGGGAACACGGCAGTGGCCGCGCGCCCGTGGGAACCCCGTTGACCTCGGGGTCCTCGCGTCCGTCAACCAAGGGCCCGGGCGGAGCGCAGGCAGGTCTCCCTTGTGTTTGACTGCAGGTGCGAACGTTTCCCTTTTTCAAATAGCTCCTTGATCTTCATCCTAAGAGGAGCTTCACACTGAATTATATAGAGACTCCAAGCGTCGGGCCTAACGTCAGCGCGCTCCGGATGGGAACGTGGCGACGCCGACCGGGATGGAGCTCTGACCCTGCCTGAGTCCTCGTCTGCGATTCCTCTCCGGGCGGCGGCAGGACGGCGGGCCCCGCGCTGCCCCAGGGCCTCCGTCCAGCTCCGCGGCCAGCGTCCCTGCAGGCGACCCCCCATGAGCCCAGGTGCCAGCGTGCGGCCTGTGATTCTTACTGCAAACCGCTGCCGGCCCAGGATACCGCGCTAAGGAACAGCTCGCCTTCTGCGATTGAGCCTTTCCCCGGGAGGGCAGAGCATGCTCCAGGAGCCCATTGCCCCTGATCGGAACACGCAGTTTTCACTGATCGGTGAGGAAAACGAGCCACGCTGCCCTGCCACTTGAGAGCTTACAGACACCTCTCCCGTCGGGCGCGTGCATTGGATCCTTGCAACAACCCGCTCTGCAAGGCAGTGGGCCTGCTGCTCTTTGTACTTCCCCTGGCAGAAGAGGGAACGGGGGCCCCGAAAAAGGAGGCTACCGCTTCGGTTCAAATAGTATGAGGTGAACCCTAAGCTTGCCTCAGATAGGGCTCCCTCCAGCTCCAGGTCTCCTGCCCGCACCCCTCACCGGTCTTCACGCAGAGTTCCGTCACCCGTGTCATCTGACGTCGGGGTCCAGCCGCCGCCTTGAGAGAGGTCGTGGCCTCGGCAGCCCGGCGGAGAACCCAGGAGTCACCGCTGCCGAGCTCCCCTGTCTCCGCTGCGCCCAGACTCCGGGCGTGGCACTCTCCACGGGCAGAAATTGTCTTCCTATCAATGAATGAGCACCCGCCGCCCCCGGCCCCCCGCCCCACACAGTCGCCTTCGGCCTGCAGCCCCGAAGAAAGCCAGCCCTTCGGCCCGTTCGCGCAGGAGCCACTCGTGCCCCGTGCTGGTGCACTGCAAGAGGGAAAGGGTCTGGATTTTCCCTTTACTGTTATAAAACATGCTGCGGGCACCATCTCTCGCAGTTTTCACAACAAGCGGGAGAGGGCGGCCCACTCCTGTCCGTATCCTCAGGTCACAGGGACGAAGCCGGGGGAGCTGGCAGGGAGCAGCTCCCTGACCGACCCGAGGCCACCCATGCACCGAGCGCGCAGCCAGGACAGGACCGCTGGACCTTCCCGCCGGCCCGCTGACCGCTAGCCCACTGCGCTCTCCGTGGCCCCGTGAGGCCGCCCCTGATGCGGCCAACGGTCCTTTCTCTCGTCTCCCTGCTGCTGCCCGCGTCGGCCACGCCCATTCCCACCTCGGGGCTGTTCGCTGTTCCCTCATTCTGCTCGGGGTAAGTTTTCTCCTCTCTTCTGTCTGGATGAATCTCACTCGTCCTTCTGCTCCCTGGTTTGCAATTCCTTCCTGCCCCCCGCCCCGCCGATTCCAAATGCACCAGGCCGCCTGGATGTCTTTCTGCTCAGAAACCGAGCTGCACTTACAGCCTGACGATGAATGGCGACCCTGCTTCTTTCCTGTGGCTCCTGTTTTCTGTCTCACGGTCATTCCCAGCTGGATTGGAAGGCCACGAGCGATTGTGGATATTGACTCCTTCTCTCATTTTCCTGTCCGAGTACCACAGTGCCTGGAACAGTGCTGGCTGTATGAGGGGCCACCACAGACATGCGCTTGTGGGTTAAATCGATGCCTCTTCCCCCCTCAAAGTGGCCGCATCCTTGAATTCCGGACAGCGGCAGGCCCAGTGCCAGGCATGCAGCAGGTTCCAAGGAGATTCCCCGAGCTGGACTGGATACCTGCTCTTGAGTCCCCTGCTGTTGTTTTCATGCTCTACAGGAAAGTGCTCTGGAGCCATCATGGAGAACCATTCAACTTCCCCGGGTGGGGTGCATTACATGCAAGAAGAAAGGCTTTGTGAAGAAAATATATGGTATAAATTACTAGTTCAAGCCTAAGGTCTAATCTGCTGAGCCCACTGTATCATTTTTATGGAAACCATCGGGCTCTGCTTATCTCTTTGTTTCTACTTTGCACTTCATTCATCCTATGAAGCATAGTATTTCATTGTTATGAGTTAAGAGCACGAGGTTAATTCAGGTTTAAGGTATACTGTCTGATCCATGGGTTTATCACTTAAAAATAAAATCTCTGCTGCCTCAGCCACAAAATGGGGCTGAACGAGCAGAGTCCACCCGGGCCCACAATGAAAGGTAATAATACCATTATATAAGCTGAGGAGTAAACAAGTCGGCAGCCTCACCAGGGGATGAAAATGCATCCGGGCCTCTTTTCTTACCCATTCACTGGCGGCTCCTGTTTGAAAGGTCAGCGGCTAAATACAAAGAAGGACCTCATCCGTCTTGTTCCTGCTAGAACCACACCATCAATGCCAGCCTCTCTCCAGTGCTGCTTACTGTCCAAGGCAACAGAAAGATAACACAATACAGACAGAAAAAATAGAAGGAGACCTAGAAAATGGAGCCGGGAATGCCTACCCTTGCCCCACGTCATGCACACAGCACACGGAAAAAGCCAGGGCGACTCAGGAATGCTATGGATGTCAAGAAGTGGTTTAAAATATGGGCAGTGTTGCAATCTTCCATGCATTCTCTGCTGAGGTTTTTGGAGCTAAAAATAATTTGGAAGGGATAGGAATCTTAACCCAGAAGGTCTGGGTTTGACTTCTGGAATGGCCTAAGTTTGTCTGTTTGGCCTCAAGCAAATCACATCACCTTTGTGAGATGTCGTCTTGTCGCATGTAAAAAGAAAATGTAGATGTTTTCCCTATCTGGCCCTTAAAGTTGTGCTGGCAATTATGTAGCATACTTCATGTGAACAAAATAAATTATGTAAACCATAAGCCGTAAACATCTTGCCATATAACAGTATGTGTGTTAAAAAGAAAGAGATGAAAAGGGAAGGAAAAAGAAAAGACTAAAATAAAGAAACTGTGATGGTTAATTTTATGTTTCAACTTGGCAGGGCCATGGTGCCCAGGTATGTGATCAAACATTATCATGGATGATTCTGTGTGAGTGCTTTTGGGTGAAAAATTTTAAATCCGTTGACTTTACGTGAATTGCCATCTATAATGAGGGTGGGCCTTTTCCAATTACGTGAAGGTCGGAACAGAACCAAAAATTGACCTCCCCCGAGCCAGAGGGCATTCTGCCGCAGATGGCCCTTGGAGTCCATCTGCACCATGGGCCCTTTGCTGTGTCTCCAGCTTGACGGCCTTTGGGCGTACATTGCAGCCTGGGCTCTGCCTCCAGTAGCGAGGCTGTGAGCACGTCCTGTGGATGTGGACTTGCCAGTCTCCATAAGGGCACAAGCCAATTCTCCGAAATCAATCTCTCTGTGTCTTTGTTTCCCTGTCTCTGTCTCTCTCCTTCCATGAGTGTGCAGTCACACACACGCGTGCGTCTTCTTGCTTCTCTTTCTCTGGAGAACCCCGTCTCATGCAAACTTTGGTACCCGGGCTGTTTCTAAAGAACAGAATCTCAATACTGAGTTTTTAAACTGGCTGTGGGTTCTCGATTTGGCTCTTGAGTGTGATTATATTTAAAGGCACTAACGACTGCACTGCAGCAGTCAAGAGCCCCCTGATCGTCGGCGGCGTGATGTGGCCGTAGAGACACACAAAATCTCACCGTCGGATGCTCTCCGTCAAGCACTTGTAAGAGGCAAGGAACTGAGTGAGCATGTATATGGTACTCTAAGACAGTGTTGTCAAAGTAAAGAGTATAATGAGAATGTCTGGTTGTCCTCCTGGCACTGAACCACGTGGGAAAAGAAAAGGCTGAGCTCAGAGATGCCAATACCCTGCTCAAGCACTGCTTCGGTGACCTGAAAGCTTCTATGTCTGCCCTGAAAGAGACGCTTCTCTGCTGCAGCCTTGAGGCCGAGCTGGCTGGAAGCAAAACCCAGGCTGTCGTTCAGTGAGTGGCTGAAGTACAATGCCAATTGGATTCCCGAACTCCCACTGTAGCTACCATAAAAGTGAAGGCATAGATTGGGGAGGAATGGGAACATGAGGGAAAACCTTGATGACACTGGGAGAACTGAGCTCCTAGACACTCATGGGTCATCCTCGGACGGACCAGAGGAAGTAGCCTCTCTAAACCCCATAGATG